ACCTACTCACCACCTATTTATTACTCCCAACAAAAAGCACATCCAGCATATATTATTACGAACAAACCTACCCCTCAACTTCATAATTTTGAAAACCCCATCCACCTCACATCCATTTATATAACCAACATCACTAACTTCAAACAAAACTCAAACCCACCAACAGTTATCCAACTACAATTTACCTCTCGGTATATAACATGAATCCTGATCACTTAGCTGCTGCGTATGGGTCTCAATTTTTTTTAATTTTGTATTCAATATACCTCTCATGTATTAACTACTTACATGAATCCCTGTGTGTTAAAAATTTTGACTTGAGGAAATACATTAACTGTAAGGAGCAAAGCTGTCACAAATTGATCACACAAGCTGGACATTCAAACCACAGGTAAAAAATTTTGACTTGAGGAAATACATTAACTGTAAGGAGTACATACTTAACATTACCTGTTATTCGAATTTAAATTTAAACTCGTTGCAAAAAAGGTTTCTTTTTCTATAACAACAACATTCCTGCAGTTCATTTCATGAAGAAAAGTAATGGTTATTACAAGCCAGGCAACGGTAGGATCCCATTTCCATTACTCATTGTATTTTATCTGATATTATACATTAAGTAACACTTTTTATTAGCTCTCACGTTTTCTTCTTCTACTTTTGAAATGGCACGTAACGAAAATGGTCATGTGTCAACACCCAAAGCCGATCACAGAAAGAACAGATGCCGAACATTTAAACCACAGGTAAAACCCACACCAGCTATACGGTTTATTTTTTAATTTGAGAACTAAACTTGAAGCAATGACCGATGAATACATGTTTATGATTGCAGATGTCTAAACTGGACATGGATCATACAAATGAATAACCCGACCATCGAAAAGAAACGGTAAAACCCTAACTCAACACTGACCTTATTCTATTTATTACTACTACATCGCTCAAACTATTTTATCTAATACTACATATTACATATCTATTTTAACTTGCATGAGTGCAAAAAAGGTTCTGTTTCAACAACCGAAGGGTATGACCAAAAGCACAGATGCTGGACATCCAAACCCCACAAAAGGTATACAGTTTATTTTTTAATTTGAGAACTAAACTTAAAGTAATGACTAATGAATACATGTTTATGATTGCAGATGTCTAAACTGTACACAGATAATAGAAATGAATAGCCCGACCATCGAAAAGAAGCGGCAAAACTGTAATTCAACAATGACCTTATTTTATTTATTACTACTACATCACTCAAACTATTTTATCTAATATTACATATCTATTTTAATTAGCATGAGTGCAAAAACGGTTCTGTTTTAACAACCGAATGGTGTGAGAAAAACCCCAGACGCTGGACATTCAAATCCCAGGTAAAACCCACAACATATATACCCTTTCTTATTTAATTTGAGAAGTACACTTGAAGTAATTAATGTGCTAAATATATGTCCCTGATTGCAGATGACTGAACTGAACGTGGATCATAGAAACGAAGTAATTGAGGGAAAAAGGTAAGACTGCAATACGACACTGAACTTTTGATATTCATTACTACATTCAAGACTTGCTAAATAACAAAAATACTAAATTAAATTTTTCCCTAAAAGACATTAAAAAAATCAACCTGTCAATCAAAACATTTTATCAAATAAAACCAAAATTAACAGCATTTGAGAACAATGCCTACAATGAATAAGGTGAACTGTAAAATATCAAATTCATTTTTGAAGCACTTTACCTGGGTTGGATCTCTTGGATCCCACCACACATGATTTAGTTATCTTAACCATAACTACAGGCCTGAACGCCGCATCATATACCTAAGAATAGCATCGTAATCATTATACATCTTTATCAAACTGAATAAATCAATGCAAAGAACTACACAAACAACATATTCAGATGTTTATAATATTTAACATCAATGGGAAAAATACATAGGCGTAGAACCCGACCAAAGGGGACATAAGTAGACCTGCACACTTTAGGTGCCTAAACACATCCTATCTTCCTTTCAAAGTAGATGATCAGGATGTAGTTAACCAACTGAAATCACATTCAACAACATACTCCCCTCCAAAATAATGTTTGTTCAGGTATATAGTACATGTAGACCGCCTTAAGACCACCTCCTCCCCCACCCCAGGCGTGGTCACCCCCGAACCCTCCTCAACAAAACCGTAAAACCATGTTAGATCATGAATTCCAAACACTCGTGACAGATCTGCCGGTGACAGAAGTGTCTGTACGGGTGCTTGTCGGAATAATCCCAGCTTACATTCAGCATCACATGTCTCACAATACCATACATCACACCCACACCCTCCAATCGTATACATGAAGTTCCGGTGACCAAGCGATGAACAGACTACACACCTCTTTATCAATCCGTCTGAGTCCACACCTCCACCCAAATCATGGTACAAACATTCCTCTGTTCCCATTACTTGTTTATCTAAACAAATGTTAAGGATAGAAAATCCCAAAGCAGTTCAGTAACCAATAATATGACACTGACATCATTTGGTTTGTAATTAAAAAGGTAATATTTATGTTCATTTTTAACTCTTATATTAGAATAGATCAATAAATAAATCCTATCCAAAAGTAAAGATATTTTTCAGAAGATATCAAGAATAAAAATCCGGGGTAGGGTAAAAACACATTCATTAATAAAGTTTTACTGAATAACATACTTGGGTTAGAAATGCCAAGGTTCCCTTGCCATGTTATCTAAACAGATGTTATTTTTTGAAAAAATTAAATTAGATTATACTACCGTCACACAACAGTGACATTTTAAGGTTTATATAGATTAAAAACAGAAACCCTTCATGTTAAATTTTGAACTCTTATTTTAGAACATATTAGTAAAGTAAGAATAGTTAACCTTTAATCTCACACACTGCTACAGGATCTACACAATGAACAGTGAGACTATAGCCAACCTCGGAAGAAGGCTTCAGACTATGGGTAGCTTATTTGCACAATACAATGACAAACCAATTCTTTAGGCAAAACACAGTAAAAAACAATCATTTTTCCCACTAACAACAAAGTTAAAAAATTTTGACCGAGAATGAGCCATGGTTTGCTTTTAAAAAACTTCCTATGGCGTAAGACCACAACTGCTCCACAGATTTTTAAAGATTTGGTCAAGTACGAAGCACAGTTCACACTAATGACCTGTCCAGATCAGTCCACCAACTTTGAGCCCATCAATTGCACTATGTTTTAAAAAAGTCTGAAATCTATTTCCTAACTTAAAAAGCTAGTTACATGAACGCAAGTAAAGGAATGGGTAGATTTGTATTTCCCACCTGACATTATTCGGTCTAGAATTACAAACCGAACCTGTATCTCCTCCTCCTGAGTTCTTATTTCACATCAGATCCGTAAATAAATGATTTTGAACACTGAAAAGATATATTTCAGAACCATGGAGTTTTACTGCATAACATACTTGGGGATACTGAGTATGTTAATTTTAGTATTAATAGAAAACATTGAATCAGTAAAGTGCCAAATGCTAAATAATCTACCCATGGACGTGCCCTAAACGTTTTCCTAAGTGAAACGAATTGCCCCACAAATCCCAAGGATTCAGGGGGCTGTGATGCTTGTCATATTATTTCGTATTCAAAAGCCACACATTATTTTTGCATAGAACTTGTATTTTTCAAAAAATAAGCTTGATTTTAAAAACTTTATAAGTGGATTTATTACAACTTCAATACGTGGGTGAGTTTACAATTATAATAGGGAAATTATTGGGGAAATTGTAAACTCACCCACTCAAATTGGGGATTTATTATATTAATACATTAATATAGGGTAGGACAGAAACACTTTAACTAAATAAGTTATACTGCATAACCTACATGTGGACATTAATTACATTAGTTTTACCATTAATACAAAAATGAATTAGAAGACATGACCATTGGTAAATAATACCACTGGACATGGCTTAAATGATTGCATTATTAGAAAAACTCTTATCCGAATGCCAAGGTGAAACTAATTGCCCCATAGAGACCAGGCATTCAGGGGGTGATATATGGTACAATATTTCATAGGAGTTTTCAAAGTTGCATTTTGCATACAATCTTTATTTGCCAGAAAAATAGGTTGATATTAAATAAATTCCGTGTCGTTATTATTGGTTCAATATTAATACATCTGCAGCTCTTCCTAAGTTGTAATTTATACAATTTCTAACACATTTTTTATGTGTAAATTTGCAGGAACTTGTTAAATTTTAAGAGGGATTGCAAATGCCTAGGATAATTAGTATATTTTTAATTGTAATTTCAATCCGTAATGTATGTAATAATAGATATAGGGTAGATTTAGGTAACGCCAAGCTCCGGGCCACACTACAGGTATGCTATCTACGCCTTCCTTAAGTGTTTAAGCCTTTCGTAAATTCAAATTCTCTCTATCGTTCCAAACACTTATGCACTTCCGTAGGACCATCCAATGAAATTTCGACACTGACCAAGGGTTCTCATATTTTTCTTAACGCCTCATAAATGCTTAACATGTGCTTTTTGAAGCCAATCCATAAATCCTTAAATGCTGACCTACTTTCATTGTATTTATACATTGGAGTTGAGAACCGAGGTAGATATCAAACATTCAGTGTAAACCGAATGTTGTACATGATCCAATAGGTATTCTAGACCATCATATGACCTTTAGACCACCCACGGGCTAAAGGTCATATGTTAGATAAAAAACCTTTGGACCACCTGTTAGACCTTTAGACGTTTAGACCACCCCTCTAAACCGCAAGGCTAGATAAAAAACAAAGGATAAAAGGCACCTGTTACCCACTGATCTACTAACTGCACGAATAATCCATTAAAATGCTTCTCGAATGATCAAGCTGTAGTAGCTGAACCGTAAGCTCAACATATATAGTACAACAATAGAATTGAACAAAGCATTAAATCCAAAATAGAGCTTACATAAAAACAATATATTATAATGCATCTTCAATAAATAGACAGCAGTGGCTGAACCCTACAGCTACTGATACACACTTTGAAGTACATTCATTCCATGGAATGTATCTTCAAATAAAAAGACATAGGTGGTCGGTGCAGATGTAGACTACATCCCAGGGCCAAAACATCCCAAAAATAAAAAAGTACCCAACACGAAAATAACTCTTGAGTCAAGGCTAGGGTGGATGTTGTGTCCTTTACATATGAAATTGATCCAAAACACTAAGCAGTTAACACCGCAGTAGACAACATTTATAACAATCGGACTTAACCAACGAAACCGCTCGATTTAATATCTTTACTCCTTTTCAATCTTCACTGCCTTGAGCTTCTTCGATGAGGTTGACGCTGAAAAATCTTCAAATAGGTCACGATTCACCCTCTCAGCGTCGACCTCCAGATCCTGCCTCTTCTCCTTTGTCATAAGTGGGCTAGACACTGTAGCCTATGAAGATCCAGCCTGAAATTCGAATGACCATCCTAACAATCTGAATGGTAATTTGATTAACTTGCAACTTAGGTTACCAAATCCAGTACCTTTTCAGACCATGAATGCTGTGAAGCCAACCTGCTGAACTCGTCCTCCTCCTAATAAAACAACACACAATAATTAGAGTATTCTAGCCTAAAACTTGCTCATTTAAAATAGAAAATATAAACCTGAGTACCTCCTTTCCATTTATCGTATCTCTGTACAGTGCACGTACTTTTGGATCAGTGTTCATCTTAAGAACACTGAAAGTTTGGTTTCCCTTGAAATTCCTGCTTTCTCTTTTGAACTGAACCCTAAATAGCGCCTTGATGTCAATCAAGGCATTTATCTCCGATGGAAAGTAATGCAGACCAAAGTTCCTCTACATCAATATCAAGTGTTAGTGTAGCTTAGAATGAAAGTAGGTAGGATGGAAATAGAATTAAAACAAACTCTAGTTATTTGGTCCTTGAGCGAAGCAGCGGACTTGCCCAACAAACAGGAGAATTCCCTGTTCCAAAACAAGAAAGACGCATGGTTTGTGCCATCAACAACCCTCACATTTACTTTGTACCTAAACACGTTAGGCACTGCGATGTTAAGTAGGTTCGGAGCAGAAGGTTAAGAGCACCTGTGATATACAAAATATAGACCTGAGAACCGCATCATTAGTACTGCAAGACGCACCTTCCTGTTACAACCGATGCAAGACACGTAAGACCGATCCTTATAGTTGTCGATGGCGGTGATTTCCCCGTAAACCCAGTGCTTCCCATCCTGTTTATCAAAGAAACAAACCGGAACGCTAGGTTTTGTAGGTCATCAATCCTTATAGTCGTTGATTCAATTTCAAATTCAAATCCAAATCAAACCTCTTGTAGTTTGCTAAGATCATCAATCGTCAACAACTCCTGCTGGCCACTTGCAATGTCTTCATCGTTGGAGTTGTCTGATTGTATAGTGAAACTCAATCCTTGAACTGCCCTCTCATTCATCCTGTTCAAGTATTTTTTCAGTTATGATAAATTGCTGATATATTTTACTCTTATAGATCGAAAAGTAAATGATGTTGGACTTCTCACCTAGACCTGAAATCCATGAATTCATCCTCCGTACCATTCAAAATGACCTTGGTAGTGTTGAACATGTTAGAGACACGAACGTGGCCTTGCAAAAATTTTATATGTTAATTAATTGAAGAACAACAAAAGATCATAGGGCTGCGTGGACTTGAAAAAAACCTTGGTACTTCCTGGCCCGGCAACATTGGAGCAGCATAACGATTGGATCCGATGTTGTTAGCTTGTATGTCAATAGCATCTCTACCATCGGTCCCCAAAGGGTGCATGCAATGACGTTTCCCCTAATAATGCATTCAGTTCAAATTCATATATCAAGAAACCACAACAGGTTACTAACAAAATACTTATTAACAAAATGTTAACTTACTTCGTATCACCCAAAATTAGTTCCATCAGGTTTCTCGGCCTTTCATTTTTTAGAATCGTCCTAGGGTCCTTGTCATGTATCACTTGGTCTAGTATATCTTTTTGATAAACATGAAATTAGACGGCAATCTACACAAAATGTGTTCTAAGATCAAAATAAAAATAGTCTGCGCATCGATTCCGTATTTCTCATCGATGGTGTCCATAGCTTGCAGCGATGCAAACGACACAAGCGAGAAAGTCCTCAACCGAAAGGGAGCACCCTTAATCTCAAAGGCCACGCTCTTGCTGAAGAAATGTAAACGATAAGCTCTGGTCGTAGTTTTAAAAAACATCTAGTTTTCCTCGACCATGAAATTCTTAACCGCGAAAACATGAGTGAAAAGAGCAAATTCCAGTCAGGTACGTAGTCAACACATGGTCCCGAACCCATAAAATGCATATTTAGAACCTTATCATTGTTTTAATCTACATGAGCATTCAAAACTGTGTTTTGTCATACATTTTCTCCCAAACACTTCCATAACAATTAATCCCAACATTGTAGCTTTAAACTGGAAGAGCAATAGGAATATTGCTTCTAAAACAACAGAATCTAAGACATACAAACCTCCTCATCATGAAAAACTATCTCCAACGACTCCGGAAAATAGTCATGCACAGGCTCCTGGTAAACACGAATAGCCCTGGCTTTGAACGCTCATGTGGTCTTGCTCTGGTCTATTTCTCGAAACATGGACCACATGCCAATCATCTTGAAATTTATTGCCTAAGTTATTGTTTGCTTTGGAAGAGCTAGATGTGGGGATCTTGAATATCAATGATCCTCTATTTATAGGCCTAGAACTTAGGATAGAAACCAACCCACCCACACTTACCACGTACAAATAAAATTTGGAAATTAGAGGGAACACTATTTAGTCTGATTTCAAATTTAAACAGTGTTTGCACCCCCATTCTCCCAATATGACCGAACTTGGCTTTTGGAAAACCAAGACCAAAAATCTATCCACAATCCCATTCATTTCATGATATGTCAAATCCCCCATTTGAAACACTATTTGCACCTCCCAATTGGACCAATAAAGATTGCTCTATGCATTAAGAAGAAAATCAAGATGAAATCCCAACAGGGACTGACCCCACACAAACTGACTCGACGCAGAAATATGAAATGAGAGGGTTTGACAGATTTCAAATTTGAGCAGTGATTTGAGAGAGGTGGCCGAACGTGGCCATTGAAAGACCAAGTCCAAATCCATTCTATCCCACCCATTCATGACATGTCACATCCACCACCCCAAGCACTCTTTTCACCTCCCAAATTGACAAATCCAGAGAGCATGAATGAAGAAAGTGGAAAATGTAAATCAAAGCCAAATAGTGGGTGGCAACTACATCACACGCAAGACACTAAACCGACGCCAAAATTGGATTTGTGAGGTCAATTCTCAAAACAATGACAACGACCTTTTTGAGCGGGAGTCGTATCCCCCAAAACATTTTGCTTTTAGATAAAGATAGATATTTCAATTTGATCACACAATATCAGTTTAATATAATCTTGCAAGTTCATCTCTTCAATTTTTGTAGAGTTATTTATAAATGTTAAAATCTAAAGTTTTTTATATTTCATGACGGCTATTTAGTTATTTAAGAACCGTACCGAACCGTACTGAAAATTGGTACGGAACAGGACATGTTCTACATATACGCGGGACGATACCGGTTCTTGATTTTTAAAAGAACCGTACTTTGGGACGAGACAGGTTTTTTGAAATAACTGTACCGTACCGTCCCGTCCCATGCTCACCCCTATGATTAACAATGGAGCCAAGGTTTAAAAAGGCTAGTACAGGTATCGAGACGGGTTGTTCTACAAACTCGAACGAACTTCTATATCTCGAACTTGTACAACAATAACAACAGTACTCCAAAAACTCTAGCAAATTTAGAAGCAAGAAGGCGCAAGGGTTAAGGGTTTAGTCCTTTGCCCTTGAGCCTTTAACCAATTATACACTACAAGAAATATGATAAAATATGACGAAAAAAATTGTCATAAAAACTTCAATTTTTGTCACTAAAAATCTCTTATATGACAATTAATTTGTGTCACAATGTTCGTCACCGTAGCTCCGTGGCAAAAGGTATACATGACAATATTGGGATTCCTCACTATATAATCATTTTTTGGTGACACTTTTGTTCTTTGTCACCATTATTATCATTTTAGTGACGATGAATTTGTCACTTTTATATCAATAATTTTGTCATATAATTCTGAATTTCATCATCTATACTAGTGATAAAAAATGACGAATCCTAAATTGTCGATAAAATATAACTCTTAGTGACGGTTCACATATCCTCATAAAAGTGGTGACACCAAAGTTGTCATAAATAAGTTACTTAGTTAGTCATGGCAAAGTATTTGTGATAAAGACATAAGGTGTCATAAAAGGATTTCAAAGTCAAAAAGTGCCTATAAAATGTCAATTATAAACATTTGTCATCATTCAAAATAGATAAGGTTACGTATTATTTGTCACAACTATGTACTGAATTATCATTAATAATATCATGAACTACGGTTTGGTAAACGCGTTTTAAACAGTGATTTATGTTTAAAATAGAGACATGTCTCATTTTTTTCGTTTTGGAAAACGATTTGGTAAACACGTTTTTCTGTTTTCCTTTCTCCAATTTTCCAGAAATTTTCTTTGAAAAACATGTTTCCTATTTTCTGTTTTCTAATTTTCTAGTTTTCTGGAAAACTGGAAAATATCTCTGTTAGTAAACAGGCCTTCAAAGTTTCAAAATTAAAAGAAGAGAAAAAGGAGAAGCAAACCAAAAAGAAAGAGAAAACAAGAAGAAGAAGCTACAAACAAATGATAAGTGGAGCTGAATAGAAAAAATGTAAAGAAATGAAAAAAAAACGAAAGAGCAAGTGGGAAGAGCAAATCGGAAGAGGAAGGAGCAACGGAAAGAAAATAAAGAAAGCAAATACCCTTCTCCCTAAATTAGTAGCCTCCCTTTTACGACTAATTACAAAATTACCTGGTTGTACCAACTCACACGGTACAGCCGGGTGTACCGTATATTTTACCTAAAAGTTTGGCTGGTATATTTTGTACTTCTTAATTAGTAAGTAAATGTTTCCTTTGAAAAAACTAAAATTAAATTAAAAATTTTGAGGTAGTGTGGTTAGTATCGAACTATCGATTGATGTCGTTTTTTCATAAATCAATAATATTTATATGTAATGTAGTTTTTTTAAAATAGTGTCCAATTTTCACACTTATTTATTTCGTTATAAAACATTTACGCAAGATGCTAGTCACAATGAAATTGATAAGAAATCAATATGGCACCACTTAAGGAAAACTCCACACACGCAATAATGTCACCTTTAGTAAAAAATAAAAGAAAAAATAATGTATGTAAGGTCACGAGGTCATTATATGTTAATTTGTCATAGATATATTTTTCTCAAACTTTATTACAAAATAAAATGTTTTACTTGGACTGTAATATACTGTTCTGGTCTGGTCTGGTTTGGTTTGTTTAAGTCTGGTCTGGTCTGGTCTGTTTAAGTCTGGTCTGATCTGATCCGGTCTAAACTGGTCTGGTCTAGTAAACGTTTGGTCTCTGTGTGTTTTATAATCATGGAAGTCAAGTCTAGTCTGGTCTGATCTGTTCAAGTCTGCTCTGCTCTGATCTGGTCTGTTTAAGTTTGTTCTGATCTGTTCTGGTTTGTTAAAGTCTGGTCTGATCTGGTCTGGGACTGAAACCATCCAACTAAAAACATCCATAGTGTGCTAAAAGTAAAATTATGACGCATTTGATTATTTTTTTGTCACAAAAGGAGAGCAAAAATGATGAAATAATATTGTCATTATTTTTATGACAATTAATTAATGACAAAATGTGATTTCATCACTATATTTAAAAATTATGTGACACAATTTGTAGCCATTAATTGTTATTAAAAATGTCATCAAAAGATTTTCCACCAAAATTTTGGATCAATTTTTGGCGCCAAAAATTTAAGTGACAACTTTAATTTTTTTGTCCTAATACAACTATAGTGACAATAAATGAGAATTAAAGTGACAGCTAGACAATAAATGAGAATTAAAGTGACAGACAATAATATCGTCACAAAAGCTCATTTTATAATGACGACTTTTAATTTTGTAATTAATACTAAACAAAATATGACAAATTTTTATGTGTCACAAATTTTACGTGTGAGAAAATAGTCATGTATCAATGGTTGGAAGATTCATCCTCATGCATCATGTTGCAAAGCACATGTATGTGTATCTCTCTAAGAATCCGGTGAATTTTTATGGTCGGAAATAAACCACCGTCCACCGTGAAAACTCACGATGGATTACTCAACAAACATCTAGGGGTGGGCAACTGGGCACGGTCTGGGACGGAACGGGAATTGGGTTGTCCCGGTATCGAACCTGGTTTATAATAACGGTTCGGAACGAGACGGGACAAGAAGTTGTCCTTTTATTGTCCCATTTAAACCGATATCGTGATAAAACGGGACGGTTCGGGACATCCCAAAAAATTGTAGTGAAAAAATCCAATCCCAAAAATGAAGCAAAGCTATTTGAAAAAAAAAAACTAACGCAAAAAAACTTTATGACAAAAAAATTTGCAGCTAATCTAGAATTTTGTGATGAAAAATGCAACCTACCAAATTAGCCGCAAGAAACAAAAGTTGCAGGGAAAAAAACTCTAACACAAAAAACTATCAATAAATCTGTAAAAAATGATAAAAGAATATTATAAGAGGGGAAATCTTTGGGAGTAAAAATCAATTTCCTTTTTTGCAAACAGATGATAGCTCATAGTTCATACTAGGTAGTTTAGAATTTTTTAGGTGTTGTGTTGTTAAACAACTAGTATATTAATAATCATTGGTATTTGGGTTTGAGAAAAAAGGATATTTAGGGGGTGTTTGGATCTGATTTTTTAAATCGCTTCTGCTCCTTCAGGGAGCAGAAACAGAAGTTGTAGTGTTTGGGCGAAAGTGCAGAAGTGATTCTGATGCTCTAATTTACTCTTAGAATCAGTTTTTCTAGAAACTGGGGGTGACCAGCTTCTGAAAACTGATTCTGATTTTGCTTCTGCTTTAAAAAAGAAACAGAAGCAGAATCAGTTCCAAACACCCCCTTATTATTATTTGGATTATATAATGAGTTGTTGGTAGACCACACTAACCTACTACAAAGTACAATTTTGGATTCGGGACAACCGGACGAAACGAGATATATTTTACTTGTTCCGGACCGGTTTTGTTTTGAAACGGTTCAGGACCGGTACAGGATAAAAACTAATGTGTCCCAAATATAACGGGACGATTTCAGAATGGAACCGGAACATTTCGGAATGGACCACGGGACAGGATCTTTTGTCCACCCCTTCAAACATCTAGACGGGATGACTCTTTCTACTTAAACAATAACTACACTGGACACCGGCCCCAAATATTTCCTCGCCATGGTGGAATCAAGGCTTCAATGCTGACTGAATACCAGGCCTGAGATACATGCACATGGATTTCCCCAAATCCGGGCATCAGAAATGCGCCATTGTTCAACCAATTTGGCTGCTGGACAGATTTGATGAATAACCAATTGGAAACTGGTCATCGCTTCGATCAATTCAAGGACGAATAACAGGTATCACCGATTTCACCCAAATCACGCAACTACACCACGATTAAATCAAATTAGCACTTTGAGAACCTGGAAGGAATCGACGAGAACCAGAAACTTCTGCAGGAACTTGGGTTACTGCAATCCCAGCCAAGACGCATGTTCTAACCCCCAAATCCCGGCACAAAAACGTCACCAAACTCCACCGACACTCGAAATACTTACACGCTCGGGGGACATTGAATGCAACCGGAAGACACCCGGTGTGAGGTCAGACGCAGGAGACACCATAACCTCGTTCAACGCCCCATCAGACAAAATCACAACAACTCACACATCGATTGGATCTCAGGTAATCACAATCGATTCTTCTCGTTATCTTCTGAAGATGACACTTCATGCCCTGTTAATACTCAAGCGTCTGAACTGCATCATTGTTCCCTTAGTACAAAAACAAATGGACAAGCTTTTAAAAACTACAAGGATACAGCTATTTTCAACAGTCTCAACTGCCGGAAAGGGAAAAATAAAATCTGGTCAATAGGAGACCAAATCACTATTGTACAGGGTGAAACTCTGAAAATTAGAGTGGCGACCTCATCGTCGGAACCACCTTCATCGAAACATTTAAATGCTATGACAAGGGATGGACAACATAGCTCGAACTAGAATTTTAACAATCCCGACGAAGTTACTAGTCAGAAACCGGTGGCCACTGGAAGTCACAGTCATGCGACCACCATGCCGGCGGCTCTATCAGCATCAGCATGAGTATTTTAAAATTGCCCTTCCTTCTATTACACTATTAGGAAATGGTGAAATTACATAAGGACCCTTAATACAACGACAACCTAGAACTAAAAATGACTGTCTTTTGAGATTTCGAAAAAAGGCTTCTTGGTCCCACCCATTGGCTCGAACTTCCCGCGCTTCATCATCCACTTCCACTCACACTCCACTCACAACATAGAGCTTCGGGTTTAGGTTTGTTTTTCGAGCACATGCAAGCATTCTTCGATTTCTACTTCGACTTCAACCACAAGTATTCTTCCATCTCGTTCAATCACCATGAAGTGCAAAACTCCAACGACTCCTCTAGTGAAAACCCAAGCAAAACGAGGACTTGTAAAAGCATCTGAAGTGATGAAAGCCGCCAATGAACATGATATTTAGGTAAATGTTAGATCATTTATGTTTTAGAGCGATACTTGGTTCTTTCGATAGATATACGTGGTAACTTCTCAAATGAAAGCTATACATATTCATTCGAAACCGAACTAAACTCAGTCGACCTAACTCATGTTTGATTATTTTGAAAACGCATGACATGCTTCTCATTCATTTTTCTAACTAAGCATACCTTTTATACTAGGTATTTAATTTATATTTTTCCAGATTTTATTTATTTGATTTACTATTTTATTTTTAATTTTTATTAAAACTGGGCCGAACTGGCCCATTAAACCGAGCCGGCCCAAGAGTTCTGAAAATTCGAATAATAAAATAAAAGGAGAAAATCGGGTAAAGTAATTACAAATAGCCCAATTACAATTAAATCAATTAACAACAACAACAACATCCAAGCCTTAGTCCCAAAAGATATTGGGGTCGGCTAACATGAATCGATACATGATATCACAACCAAAAGGAAAAGAAGGAAAAAAGATAAAAAGATAAGCTATTATGAAAAGATAATATAAAAAAGATGAATATATATAAAAATGACAAAATAAAAAGGCTGCAAATAATGCATATATATATATATATATATATATATATATATATAAGGATAAAAAAAACTAGGAAAAAAAAGATGAGGGAAAAAGATTATCAAGATCACTCCTTCACGTGAATACCCGCCCTCCACTTAGTTCTCTCCAAAATCATGCCCTCATCCAACCCCAGAAGAAGCATATCACTTCGAACTCCCCTAACCCACGTCTGTTTGGGTCTTCCTCTCCCTCTCTTCCCTGCCTCTTCTCCACACATCTCAACTCGCCTAACAGGTGCTCACTCGGTCTTCTACGCACATGACCAAACCACCGTAGGCGCGACTCCCGCATCTTGTCTTCAATAGGTGCTACTCCCACCCTTTGTCTGATTGTCTCATTCCTCACGCGGTCCTTCCTAGTATGCCCACACATCCAACGCATCATGCGCATCTCTGCCACACTCATCTTTTGAATGTGACATTGTTTCACCGCCCAACACTCTACGCCATACAGTAATGCAGGCCTAATTGCTGTCCTATAAAATTTACCCTTCAGTCTAGTCGGCATACCTCGGTCGCATAGAAATCCCGACGCACTCTTCCACTTCATCCACCCTGTTCTGATTCTATGGGATACATCTCCCTCTAACTCACCGTCCTTCTGAATTATGGAGCCCAAGTAATGGAACATATCGCTGACTGGTATCTCCTTACCATCCAGAGTAATTCCGCTATTACCACTACTTCTACCTCCACCAAACTTGCACTCCATGTACTCTGTCTTGCTCCGACTTAGTTTGAAACCCTTATTCTCCAATGTTTGTCGCCATACTTCCAACTTTGCTTTAAGACCTGATTGCGTCTCATCAATCAATACAATATCGTCGGCAAACATCATGCACCACGGTATATCATCTTGAATTGACTTCGTAAGTTCGTCCATGACTATGCCAAATAAGAAAGGACTCAAGGCCGATCCTTGGTGCACTCCGATAGTAATAGGGAACTCTTCAGTCCTCCCTACACTAGTACGAACACTTTTAGTACAATCCTCATACATATCCATGATGATGCTGATATACTTGCGTGATATGCCTTTCCTAGTTAAGGCCCACCAAAGAACTTCTCGAGGTACCCTATCATATGCCTTTTCTAAGTCAATGAACACCAAATGCAGATCCTTATGAGCATCTCTGTACTTCTCCATAAGTTGACGAAGAAGGTGAATAGCCTCAGTTGTTGAGCGACCAGGCATAAAACCGAATTGATTCTCTGAAATCTTCACAGTCCTTCGAAGTCTTTGCTCAATCACTCGCTCCCAAAGTTTCATGGTGTGACTCATAAGCTTAATCCCTCGATAGTTGGCACATTCTTGTACATCACCTTTATTCTTAAATAAAGGGGTAAGAGTACTCTTCCTCCAACTCGTTGGCATCTTGTTGTTTCTCCAAATCATGTTGAAGAAACTTGTTAGCCACTCGACGCCTCTCTCTCCCAAACTTCTCCAAGCCTCGATCGGTATGCCATCTGGCCCCATTGCTCTTTTCCGTCCCATCTTCCTCAGAGCTTCTTTAACTTCCGTTGTTTGGATCCTTCTCACAAAATCACGGTTTACCATACAATCTGGTATGGACAAATCGCCGATATCTTGCGTTTTGTTCCCGTTGAATAGTGTATCAAAGTATGACCTCCACCTCTCTTTTATCTCTCCGTCGTCCATTAATATCCTCTGATCAACATCCTTCACACACTTAACTTGAGCAATATCTTGAGTTCTGCGATCACGAAGACGAGCAAGTCTATAAATATCTAGTTCTCCTTCCTTAGAGTTCAACTTTTCATACAACTCCTTGTTCACTTTCCCTCGTGCTTCCCTTACGGCTTTCTTTGCTTGTCTTTTAGCCTCCTTGTATGCTTCAATGTTCTCATCACTCCAATTTGTCCCCAACTTTTTGTAGCAATCTCTTTTGTTCCTTATGGCTTGTTTCACCTCATCATTCCACCAAGATGTGTCCTTTTTAGGTGGCCGACATCCTTTAGATTCTCCAAGTACCTCCTTTGCCACTTTGTTAATGGTCAACTCCATTGATGACCACACATCATCCACCTGTGTTTCATTATCAATACGCCATACATCTTCACCGACCATTTTGTGTGTAAAGCTTTGTTGAAGATCTCCCTCTAGCCTCCACCACTTTATCTTTGGCTCCACTTGTTGTTTAACTTGTCTTCTATGGTTCTTACCTCGAAAGTCAAGCACAAACATCCCATGCTGAGTGACAACACTCTCACCTGGAATAACCTTACAATCAGTGTAGCTAGTTCTCCCAGTGGTCCGTACTAAGAAGTAGTCAATTTGGGTACTATTAGCTCCACTTTTATAGGTTACAAGGTGAGAGTCTCTTTTCTTAAACCAAGTGTTCATTATAGCCAACTCATACGTCAAGGCAAAATCCAAAATGTTCTTTCCCGCCTCATTCCTAGTGCCAAAACCATGTCCGCCATGAATATTCTCAAAGCCATCACGACTCGAGCCCACATGCCCGTTGAGGTCACCTCATATGATCAACTTCTCTCCCCTTGGCACTCGTCGCACCACGTCTTCAAGATCTTCCCAGAACTGTTGAGTTGTAGATGCATCCAATCCCACTTGTGGTGCATAGGCACTTACCACAGACACAATCTCACCTCTTATCACCAATTTAATGCTCATGATGCGATCGTTCTTCCTGAAGACTTCTACCACATCATCAACATAGTCACGCGCCACAATAATGCCTACCCCATTTCTAGTCTTATCTCTCCCCGAATACCACAACTTAAAACCTCCGGGATTAATCTCGCGTGCTTTCTCTCCAACCCATTTAGTTTCTTGCACACACATAATGCTGATATTCCTTCTGCTCATAACCTCAACTACCTCGGAAGATTTCCCTGTAAGAGACCCAACATTCCATGTCCCAAAACGCAATCTAGCATTCCACCTTCTGTTCTTAGCCCCATCTCGGACCCCACCATGCCCTTGCATATTTGACATCATCCTCGGGCAATGGGATGACGCGCCGCTTCTGGGCGGCGACCTAGCAACCTTAGCATTCTTATCACCACACCCAGGTCTATCAAGTGTAGCGCGCCCTTGCATATTTGACACCACCCCCAGGCGGAGGGATGACGCGTCACTTACGGGTGACGACCTAGCATTAGCGATTTTCATATTTCGATTCATGTCATGTGATGTGACTAAGTGATACCGTTAGCCGTCACACGCCTACCACAGCACCCTCCTCCTTTATCCTGGCTTGGGACAGGCATGATACCAAAAAAAATGATATCATGGCGGAGTTAATTAAATCAATTAAAAATAGCTAAAAATATTATTTCTATAAAAACATTTGGTCAAACTAAACATACATTGTTCGACCAATGTTAGTCGAATTTGAGTTGTGAACCATTGGGTCGACAAGTTTCTAGTCGAACAGTTATTAATTTTTGTTCATATACAGGTTCCTTCCTTGCCTCCCATGGTGGATTGCTCACTGTTCTCAAATATGAAGCTCACGGGAAGGCAAAATTTGAATGAATTTAAAAAATAAATGACGTGTAGGCTTGGTCCATTTCCCAATCTCTTGAATGCATTTAGAAGGAGTGTATTTTGGAAATACATTGATGTATTGAATTATGACCATGAGCTTCATATTTGGGAACAGTGATGATAATGGACCAAGCCTACACGATTCGGGACTGGACGATGGTGGGTTAGGTTGAGTCGGGTACTAGGTCTCTTCGATTCGATAATGATAATAATTACTTTCATGAATAGTGAAATATGGCGATTCATTTATTTTCAACAGAAACATATATTTTAAATGTATATGAAAATGCACATATCTATTTTAATTATGTTGGAGTATAACATGTATTATACATTTGTACTTCTATGGCCGTGACAGTTGTGAGTATGATATAGGCAGGACCTTTGGCCATTAGGCCAGTCGCCCGGATTTAATATTACCAAAACCGAACTTCATCCGCCAAATGCCTAATTCATAAACCCAATTGCAGTGATATGATCTCCGGTCCATTCAAACTTATGTCTGATAATCACAATTCACTCGCCAGTGGTCATTTGATCATGGAAGAGGAAGAATCATTCACTATATAGTTGGCGCATGGATGAACTCGAAAAGCAAATAATCAATTGAGAACTACAAACTTCACAATTAAACACATCCTTCTTTGAGGTTTGGAACAAATTTTTTCAGTGCATGGTATTGAAATGTGGATAGAGCAAATTAGGGTTTATAATTGCAGTCTCTTAAACATAATAACAGTTCCAGTTTGCCTAATGTTTAAGCCTTCTCATTGTCGATTATAGTATCCCTTTATCTTTAAATTATAGTATGGTGATCAAGGCTCCAAAAATTTCATTGCCTATTGATCTGAACTTTTAATTGCTTTGAAGGCATTTGCAGCATTCAAACCACAGATAGGATAAGCAAGATTTACTAACTTGTCAGTAATAACTAGGTTGCATTGATTACCTAGATTTCTTCCAATATATGAAGTGCAAAATTTATCATTTACAATAGTTTAGCTAGTAGGAAACTGGAAATGCTACATACTTACTGTTATTTTACACAAGGTAGATCATCCCAACCTCTAAAGTGGATGCTCGAGGGAAGCTCAGTGCGTACGTGGGCCCACGAGAATTTCTCCTCAAGAAATCATAACCTATGTTAATAACTAATCTCTTGAAGAAACTAGAACCACTCTTTGCTTTAACATAACAACTTCCAAGTACAAATGCCATCCCAGACTCCCTTGCTTCCATCAAATCCCTCAACTCCTCCAGCATACTCGGATCATCCATCTCTGGACTCTTGTCAGGCACAATAAACCTCACTCTCTTTCTCGGAATTTCAGGCGAGCATACCTCTGTGAACTCTCCAGGACTTGCTGCTCCAGACATGTTCTCACCATTATCCCTCATTGTCTTACCTCCTAGGTATGTGGAAGTGGTTCCGATAACAGTCATCTTTTCGTTGTCCTCAAAATCCGTTGGATGTTTTTTATGTTCCTTGACTTCCTCTGATCGTGAGACCTCAGAACGGATGAATTGCTCTATACTAAAAAGAAGATCCTTTTCAAACTCAATATCATCGAGGTGGACATCACGGTAGCCGTATCTCGCTATGCATCTATAGACTCGGTGCTCTTTGGGCCCGATCCTACCTACGAGGTACCTCTCTTCAGGCCTTACATGCGGCACGGGAACTGATTTGATGCATAGGAAGACGAGGACTTGGTGGAATGCAGGAAGGTTGGTCACAAAGTGGGAGAAAATGGCAGGAATTCCGGAGACGAGCTCTGTGTGAATGAGGCCTATGCCACGCACCCTCGTGATCCCAAGGTTAGGGCCCAGTTGGAGGAGCCAGTTGATAGGGACACTATTTTCTACGTCAAACTCGTATTTCTTCATTGTACCATAGTTCCAGATGTACATGATGAGTAGAAATATAAATGAGAGGGCAACTGGGACCCATGCACCTTCAAGGAACTTGATGAGGGAAGCTGAGAAGTAGAGTGCTTCAATTGATCCGAAGAAGCAAAAGAAGAAAACTGCTAGCAAGACGCTTTTGTGCCAGCACAGGACCATTACAAGAGACATTAGGCAGGTCGTCACCAGCATGACAGTTATAACTGCCAAACCTGCACTTCGAAAAGGAAAACATGTAAGAAATATTATCTTCAGGTAACATTTTTTATAGGGGTTCTTGGCTCGAGGGGCTGAATCTTTAAGAGATTTTCAGAAAGAAAAAATGTTTTTTAACATCCTTTAAAGCAAAATAAGTAAGCGAGAAACTACTTATGTATTGATTAGACTACAATAAGCCATAAGTTGCTACCAAAGTGGGCTTTAAGACTGAAAAATGATTTTGCTATATCTAACTATTCATTTTATAAAATTAAAATGTAATTGTCTAGGTTCATTGTTTTGAAGTGTCTTTAATGTTCATTTGCTAACCTTGCCTTTTGGCGTATCTCCTAACTTTTTAGCAAATACTATTTTTTATTTCACACAATGAGTTAGAGGTCTTCTTTTTGTCTGAATTTGCTTAAGTGGGCCAATTAGCCCTTTTCAATGATTTATTTATAATAAGTAAGGCAAAAATATACTTTTAGCTCATCAGTTCAAGGTAAACACATTAAGGCTACTAAATTGAGCCTTAGTGTTTTGACAAGACAAATCACAACACCACTGACCTCATACACACATAAAATTTACCTGATGCATTGCTTATGTGTTTCGTATCTTGAAACCCAATAGTGACGGCGAGACATAGGAACATCAAAGTCCAGTTGATTTCTGGAATATAAATCTGGCCATGGAATTTTGACGATGTGTGTGTTATTTTGACCCTCGGGAAACAACCTAAAGCGGAGCATTGCTTGATTATAGAAAAAGTGCCAGTAATGATGGCTTGGCTTCCCACCACGGCTGCAAGTATTGCAATGCCAAGAACTGGCCACCTAAGCTTTTCTGGACACACAGAACAGGATCAGAACTAACTCAAAGCAAGGCAAGATGGGATGGCTAGACCAAAAGAATCAGAATAGGACATTCGAAAAAAGAAGAGTTTACCAGGCACAGATACATAGAATCCAATCCGGTAGTCTGTTTCAAGGGTGTGGTGTTTCGAAAGGTAAGCCGCTTGCCCCATGTAAGCAAGAATAAGTGATGGGTAAACTGCAAATGTGAAAGCTATCTGCAACATATAGAATTTTGCACATGTTTGTCAAAAAGCATTGTGGGACACAAATGTGTTCACACCTTTGGTTGAAAATGTTCTGCTTGGGAAAACATATTCTAAATTTTATAGAATGAATAGTAAATAGAATAAAGAAACAACCAAACCATGACATAGTTGAAGGGAGATCACTAACATAAAAGATGTGATTGAAAGCTGCAAAAGATCTTATTATAGAGGCATGTTCTCATGCATGTTCCTCTATTTTTTTTTTGAAAATATCTTAGTATTAGAGAATTTATTCTTACATGACAACAATTAACCAACACATATCGAAATAGTGTTGAAGTTACTTATTCCAGGTTGCCAAAATGGAGGTAAAGGACATTTTACTCTCATGTAGTTATTACTCCGTATTTATTGATCAATTAAAGATTCTGTTCAATATGTTTTTGAGAATGCATCAATCAACTTTAGTCACAGTTTCACCAACTCTAATCAATTGTATCCACCAAAAAGGCTTTTAACCATAATCCTCTCTTAGCTTCTACCTAAAACTGAATAGTGTTTAGCAAATCTTATATGGAACTCTGTAAAAGGTTACATAAATTATTACTGTATTAAGTTTAGTTACCTTAATAGATAACTGAGAAAAGTGTCCAAGATCAGCAAACATGGCCTCTGAACCTGAAATGCATCAAGAAAAGCATGTTAAGCCATAGATGGAGATGGATTAGATGGTAGGTGATAGTGGTGGGGTACCTGTAATGCACAACAAGATGCCACCCAAAGACATCCAACCACCACGCTGGGTCTTCTTCAAGAATTTGTACATGTAGTATGGGGAAAGTGCTTGGTAAACATGGGGGTTCCACTTGAAGATGTTGTACATTCCAATTACACTGATGCATAAAAGCCATGTAACCACTATTGGTGCAAACAGGAATCCTATACGGTGGGTCCCATAATGCTGTATGGAAAATATCACTACCAGTATGCCGCATGCTATGGGAACTTCTACATCTGCAAGCCCACCCATTCTTTTCATTATTCTTATCATCACAACAAGCTAGACGTCAATAATGATAAAATATACAGTACAAGAAAACATGTTCTACTTTAATAAAGATATGATTAAAATGAATACAATTGGTGAATGTTACTTCTATGAACAAAAAGCGCAGCAGTACTTCAAAATTGATTAGAGTAATTAACCACAAGGATATTTAATTTAATTTGAACTATACTGACCTCATTTTACCTATCTTACTTTCCTTTTTGGGTTGTCCCAAAATAAGTGTCACCTTTTCTTTTTTGGGAAAATATATGTGGTTCACATCATTTCACTTTAATATACTCAAATTCCAACTACAATTTCTACCTTTTTCAACCACTTTATTAAAAATTGTACCAAAATCAAATGAGACACATAAAATGGACGAATCTAGTAAATTTTAGTACTACGTACTCCTATAAAATAATGATGTACGAAATACTTGCTCCGCCCCTTAAACTTTGTCAACTTTCCGTTTTTGGATGTTCCACTAACTTTGCCACTTTCCTTTTTAAGTAAAGAATTTGTGGTTCCAGTTAATTTTCTCTCCTCTGCACAAATTTCAACCATACATTTTTTACTTTATTAATCCCCATGCCGGTCAAATTTGGCAAAGTTTTAAGGGACGAAAGGAGTATATATTTTCTAAAATCGTAAAATGGAATGAGACCTAAGCGTGATATAGACAGGATGTTCAAAAGAGACATATGAAAACTCGAAATGGGAGGAATGGAGAATATTAAGAGACCGTTTGGTAACACTGGGATTGATTGAATGGGTTGATTCTGTTGAAATTTATGAGGTTCTGACTGAAGTGGTTGTATTGGCTTATTCTGTGTATTTATGAAAAAATAATATTTAAAATATATTTTATTAATAAAATAAAGCAAAAGTTAAATGAAAAATAGCTAAAATGGTTACTACCGTCATTTCACCTAATACAGCCAAAAAAGTAACTTTAACATCATTTTTTCTTATTATTACACAATTCAGCGCACAAAATCAACACTTGAGTGTTTGGTTAAAAAATTGGTTGATAAGCAAAAGAGAAATTCACGGGCTCTAAAAGAGTTTGAAATAGTGAGATAAGCACACACATAAAGAATATCTTGTTGGGAAATGATGAAAGTCAATTTTTTGAGACCTCTTTTCCTTTTGCAAAAGGCTAAAATCATTTCACTCCCACTTTTCTTTTGAATTTTTAACAAAGCATCATTAATATGCGACATAATCAATTGCGTAATCAAAATTCTGTATAGTATATGATTTACACAGTCATACATATCAAAATTTCAACGAGAAAGCAGTTACTCCGTACTATTTAGGACAATATTAATTACCCTTTTATCAGAGCTTCGATTATCATCACGTGATAAAGAATTGATAACATATATAACCTGATAGCCTATCAATTTAATGAGTGTTTTCACACCTCATAAGTCATGAGTAATTCATAATTTTTTTGAATCATTAAGAGGTTTGACTGTTTCGGCTTATCAGGTTTATCTGCCAACTTTTTCACCAAACACGAAACTTTGGTTTCGTGCGTTGAATTATGTAATAAGCAGAAAAAGTAAGATTTGAGTTACTTTTCTGACTGTATTGGCTGAAGTTATTTTATATGATCATTTTAGCTATTTATATATATAATTTTTTTTTATTTTATTAATAATATATATTTAAAAAATATTTTTTTCTTAAATCAGCAGAATCAGCCAATGCAATCATTTCAATCAGAACTTCATAAATTTCAGTAGAATCAACCAAAACAATCGATTTTCGTGTTTCCAAACGGACTCTACTTTTAAAAGTCAAGTCTAACGCAGTTACCTTTTCAATATGATATAATAAGAGTTTTCAAACAAAGATGTAACTTACGCGGTTTACAATTAATTCAATTATGGATTTAGAGAAAAAAAAATACTGTTTTAAGTATTAAACAAATTAAAATAGGTGTGCAAGATGACACGAGTCGTATTCAAGGGACATACAAATAAAACTTCTTTATAAGAATTGTGTAATGGCACTGATAGAAATGACACTGATTATGATATAATTGTTTTTTTCTTTGTTACGTTTTAGTTAGTTTATTTTATTAAAAAATGAAATTAAAAATGAGTCGATCTTTAGTCGTGCATATCCATTAGCTACAATTGGCCTAGGCTCCATGCCAATTTTGCCCCCCAACGCTTATATGAAACAAAAACATCTCATCAAATAAACGCGTCATATTTTAATCTTTTCAACAAAAACGTGTCGTATTCAATTTAATTGAATTCTGAACAAAATATGTACTCGTAATAATTGATAATGTAAGGTATCCAACAAATAATATTTGACGGTAATAAGTTTAACACTTTAACTATCCACCAACCTCACACATGAAGAGGGCATGCGGGTGTCCACGAGGAAGTTATTTAATAGTCAACTTTTTTTTCTAAATATGTAAAGTTCCTAGTTTGACTTCACATAGACTAAGAAAATAAATTTGACTTTACTATGGAGTGCACTGTTTGGCATTGTTTGACACTGTTTAGCACTGTTTTGTTTCCTACAATGGAAGTGTGAACTTAAATAAGAGACATCTCTAAAAGGAAAGTGAGAACTTTAATACGAACCGGAGGGAGTAATTTTTATTTCGAATGTCAAATTGTGGAACAAATAGATAAAGTAGTTAAGGTTCAAGTTATTTCTCTTGCTGCATTTACTGAAGTTATATAAGATTTCCTCAGTCTCGTTTAAAGGTTCTCGTTTATTATTCTCTTGTCAACGTGAATTGTTTTTAATCTTTTACTTTGTATATTCAACTTTTATCAAATTTAATGTTTCATGATCAGGTATTATAAAATTTTTAAAGTAATTTCTGAATATGTAGATTTTATTTACTAAAAATAATCTTGTTAAGACATTGATCACTTAAATTTATAGTCAGTCAAACATTGTAAACCACATGAGACCTTTAAGTGGGATGGAGGGAGTACCATTTTAGTTATTTTTTATATTTTTTTTTCTTTATTTTATTAATAACAAATAGTAAATATAATTTTTTCATGAATCAATAAAATCAGTCAATTTAATCACTTCAATCATACCTTCACTAGAATCGGTCAACTCATTCAAGTTCATTATTATCATCAAATTGTCTATGTGGTTTTTGGTTACAAGTTACAACTTTAGATTTTTATGTGTTTTCTATGTTAAATTTATGTTCGATATGTCATTTATTATTATGTATAATGAAAACATATGATTTTTGCAACAAATTAAATGCATTTCAAACCAGTGGCCATTATCAGTTTTTTTGAATATAATACTCGTATGACGAATAAAAGGAACATTAATTGCACATCTATAATAAGGCAGCAATGAAGATGCTGTTCGCAATTGCTTCTGTTTGGATTCACGTCTCAAGCATGACTAAACTGGCTTTGGAATCATCGAAACACGTTAAATTATTAATTGAGTGAAATTTCATTTTTTTCTCTCTGTTTCTCTCTTTAAAACACATTAAAATTTCAACTCTGTAGTCTCTACCAGTCATAAATCATTTTCATTGAAATCAAGTTGCTTGCGTTTAAGCCCCATCTACTGAACTCGTGTTATTTAAATCACTCTTAGACAGTTAGACGTAGTACTACTTGGTCCAAAAGGTGGAATCTCCCCCACCTCAGGAGTCCCCCATACTCCGATCTGACAGGATTTTTGGGAGGATGTTAATCACGGTGACTCAGTCGGCTCAATGATGGACCTTTTTCCCGTGCGCACCAGAGGCCCAACCTTATTTCAGGTTCTGTGACCTCTACACGATCGGTGCGGGTTTCGAACCTTGGTCACTTGGTCCAAATTTCCCACCACTAAACCAACTAAGCTACCCGTTGCGGTTAGACGTAGTACTACACTACTACTTCTAAGACATGAAAATAGGGGAAAAGTGCAAATAAGCCTTCGAACTAATCGAAAAAATGCAAATCACCCCGTTTATAGGAGGCTCTGTCCAGTCGTCGCCATTTTGGGATGTTCCTGGTGGATTTTTTTGATGATTTTTTTGAGCATTTTCTTCATTAAGTCTAGTTTACCCATACCAAATTTAAGCTAACAATTCAACCGGAAGACAGTCAAATGATTTTCTGTAATATACTGCGCTGTTTAACTGTTTAACTGCGCAGTTATCTTCAAACATTTATTTGACTGTCTTCCCGATTGCATTTTAAGCTGAAATTTAGTGTGAGTAAACTAGACTTAATGAAGAAGATTCTAAAAAAAATTATCAAAAATTTGCAACGGTAACCGCCCCAAATGGCGACAGACGGACAGAACCTCCTATAAAGAGGTGATTTGCACTTTTTGCTTAGTTCGAGAGCTTATTTGTCCCATTTCCCCATGAAAATAATTACTTCCTCAGTTCCATAAAAGTTGCAACATTGAAATTTCTACACTATTCACACACCTTACTTTGACTACGATTTTCTAATAATATATATAATAAAAATATTATGTATAAAATATTAATAAATTTGTATTAATGTAAATTTCCAATATATTAACTTTTTTTAATGTTTACTAATACGTAAATAAATATAATTACAGTCAAAGTTGCGCGTTGGCAAACGTGAAAGTCAAACTGTTTTAACTTTTATAAAACAGAGGATAGTATATTTGTACATAAATGCTAAAGGTACCCCAAAGTGTACCCCATTTTTACCCCACCCTCAAATGTGTGACCATAAATGGGACAATTCATTTAAGTTGGACAACATTTATGGCCACACATTAGAAGTTGGGATAAAAATGAGGTACATTTTGGGATATTCCTAACAAAACTCATAATTGTATGCATGTATTCTACAACGTTATACCACGTATTTCCGAATTATATAACTTCCTCATCTTGTGCACGTTCAAATGCCAACTTTAATATTATCTCGCTCACTTTTTAGTTAGTCATCTTTGATTCTTTTGGTCAAAGATATTTAACTAAAAAAGGACGAAGTGGGTAAGGGTAATTATTTTCATGGTAGGTAATTAAATAACAACGCAATACTACCGCAACAACAATTCCATATTGTTTGTATATAAAGGAAGCTCTCATGTTAAGGGATATGTGAGTATCAGTTTTTTCTTTCACGCGTTACACATATTTACATTCAAAGACACAACACATATTTAGGACTAGCAAAAAATCTCATATACTTAAATTATTTACACTTATATATGCATAATAAGAGGAGGGAGTATTTGATTAATTAATTCAAAAATGGACTAACTAACCAAATGGAACCCAAACTTTCAAACTGAATCATGGAGTGTATATAATGCAGCCTTTAATTACCACTTAATTGAGGTAGCTAGTCAAAAGATGCATGGATGGATCTCACCAAAAATTATTTTTAATTCATTGTTAAAAAAAGGTAGATACTCCCACCTATGTATATAATGCATGCTAGTTAGATATGAGGAAACATAATAATTGGTCCAAAGAAGTAGACACGCAAAGAAAACATCATAACATATATTATAAACAATTTGCAATCGACAAAAAGAAGAAGATTTTTTTAAAAAAACATATACTTCGTACATATATTCAACTTACATTCATGATGATGTTTTGACATGGACAGCTCCAATCCAGACACGGCTGAGAACACTGCATATCAGCAACCATGGCCAGCCCGGGAAGAAATTAAAAAAAGAACAAAAAAGATAAATAATGTTATATCGTTATAAGTTAAAGTTATATATAATTAACCAAAATATCTTCAATAATTAATACGATAGTATACTTTTTCAAATATGACGAGAAGTGATTCAGACGCTAAAAGGGACAAAACTTAAAAATCGTATTCATATTCAACTATTCGTTTATAACGCGACACTTATTTTATTATAGTTATTTAATTATTTAATAAACTACGATTTTCATAAACTTGCCAAAAAAAATCAACGTTTCAAAGAACCAGTTTAAGACGTTGCTTCCAGGTAATCGGCATGTTAGGCATCTGATAAGACGGGTTTAGGATGTCATAATAAGCTTATTTTCTTAACACATTTCAGTTATGCGTGAGTTAAGTGCCTAATTTAACGCTCTTATTACCCTAGCTAACTCAGCTAATTGCCGATCATTATCACTCTTAAAACAACTTTCCTTAAAGCCATTTTTGGTAGGTAGCAAAAATTAAAACACGAAAATAATATGCACAAATTTTATTTCTAGTCCATATTCCCTATCGCCAAATAACACATAATGGAGTGTACTCATTATATTTTTGGTACTCAATTAGGGATAGTGGGGGAGCCAAAGTTGTATGATTAGGGGGACCGATGTTTCATACTCTCACTACAGCATTCATATTTCGCAATTTCATTTTTCAATGGTAACTAAATAATTTCATTTTATTTGTGAATTTTTTCATAGTATTTCAAATAATTTTGAAAATAATACACAATTATAACTACTGTACTTTTTTGAACTTATTCTTCATTCCAGACAAAATTTCATAATTTTCTCATCGTAATTTAATCCCCTTTTCTATTCATAATCTCAGTTATAACATATTTTAATTTCTAGAAAAACCTAAAAATTAACATATTTATTACAAAATATAAACATTTTCGAGAAAAACAACTTGTCCAATTCTTTAATTTATTGAAAAAATAATACACAATTTTTTTCTTCTCTAGAAGTAAATAAGTCAAATATTATAAGCCTCGAATTTTTATATAATCTTTATTTAATTCTTATCTGAAGTATAAAAATATCAAATATTATACGAAGTAAAAACCAAATAAAGTGAAGAAAGTGAGTGATGAACGGATATACCTGAAATAGCAGGGGTAAGGACCCCATCACCAATGACCATACACGCGCCGATCAGCGCTAAGACAAGCAGCACCTTCCTCAACCAATGGTGTTTCTCCAGCGTGGATCTCAAACTCAGCCCGGCCCGGCCACCCTTTCCCCTGCCGCTGCCGCCGCCGCCGCCCTCATTCTGACCAATCTCATCCCTCTGGTACTCGAACAGCTCCTCATCCGCCACCTGACCGTTGGGCAGCGTACTGACCCGCGCGTGGCGGCACAGCAGCGAGTAGAGCGCGAAAGTCCCGCCTTCCCCGTTATCGTCCGCCCTGAGCACGATGAATACATACTTGAGAAGGGGGATTAGAGTCAAGGTCCAGAACACAAAAGATAGGACCCCGAATATCTCGTCGTTGCTCTCGGAGTGATGAATGTCCTCCGCGAACGTGCTCTTGTAGACGTACAGCGGGGAGGTGCTCAGATCGCCGTACACCACCCCGAGGCTCTGATAGGCCAGAGCCAACGCCGTCCTCCACGACTCTTTCTGCAAATCAACCTATAAGATTCTGAACTACTCCTTCTTTTGAAAATAACTAAATTGAAGTCGATTTTTGACTTACCTTGACGGGATTATTGTTTCGGCCCCATCCTTCAATATCCATCACCGGTCGCCTCAATATCATCAGCAAACACGCATTTTCCGGCCTGATATTAGCTTTCTAATGCGGTAATTAGGTTGTAGTCGTCTTAAAACACTCCAATGAACTTAAGCTTCTCTTTTAATTGGAGAAATTATGTTATGTGAAGTATTTATGCAAAGAAAAAGGAAGCATAGGAGGGAGGAACCAAATTGAGGGAGATATTGTGGTAAGAAGAGTTTATATATCCACTTTCTATGATGTACTGTGTATTTGTGCAATGGAATGAGCAGGGAATATTGTGCGTTTGGCGTGCGCCTTTTTTCGTAAGTTAGCGTGTTAATGAAATTGATCAGGTGATCAACAGAAACTGTGACCAAGAGAAACACTGGTATTTTTTATTTCAATACAGGTTTGGCACACACAATTTAAGATAGTAGATATTGTGTGATGGAGAGTTGTGCAGAGAAGAGAGAAATGGGTAAGAAATAACATGAACCGCAATTTTTTTACTAAAAAGAGAGTGAAAATTTTAATTGAAACGAAAGAAAAAAGAAAATTAGAAGTTTTAATAGGAATGGAGGGAGTAAATCTCAAAAAATAGTAAATAAAATTTTAGCATATTTTATCATATAAAATGATGTTACACTCGTCCAACATTAGTACGTTTATTCGATACTGGTGGTCAAAGATGCTATCGTAATATCTTTGACCAATGTGACCATACTCTATATGTTTTTTTTACTCCGAGGTCCGGATGAAGGGTTGAGGGTCTCGAGTAATTCACTCTATTGAGATTCAAATCCTTATGTGTCTAGCGTGTTTCGAACTCGAGAACTCTCACTAGGCACGGTAACCTCACAACCAGTTGGGCTGGAATGATTGGTTGACCATACTCTATATGTATTCTTCCATTCATCCCACTTCTTTCGTACTCATTACATGTCAACTATCACAACTTCAATGCTTATATCGTGGTACCGGTGCATGGTGAGCACCATGTACCCTTTGTTATTTTTTATTTCTCATTTTCTTAAAATTGTTAATAATTTTTTTATTTTTGATCCTATTTTTATAAAATTTATACCAAAATTTTTTATTTTTCATGATCTTTCAAATGAGATCAATATTGCCTATGTAATTTTAAGTTTTTACATTCATACATTTTTTTGTAATATATTTTTATATGGATACACTTTTTCTATAATATATTTTTTTATCACTTTTATATGTTTTAGAGGTTTTTAAGATATTGAGTTTGTTTATTTTGGTTCTAGCTTGGAGTTACATTTGATAATATACGAAGTTACATCATCTTATACTCCAGTTACAAGTTATTATGTGTGAGTTACATCTTGTTATGTGTGAGTTACATCTTGCTATACACGAGTTACATACTTTTATGCGAGAGTTACATGTAATTGTGTGTGAGTTACATCTTGTTACACACGAGTTACATACTTTTATGCGCGAGTTACATGTAATTATGTGTGAGTTATATCTAATTATTTTTGATTTTTTACTTATCTTTATCTTGAACTAATTCAATTATAACTGAATTAATTTTTTTCTTTGCCAATTTAATACAAAATTTTATTAATCCACATAAAATAAGTATATTGTATTTCATATTCATACACTATTTTTCAAATGATAAAAATGAAAGATGTAGCAGGGGTTTATTTCATGGTGTAACTCACATACATTAAGATGTAACTCGTGTATATTAAGATGTAACTCGCGTACAATAAGATGTAACTCGCGCAGAAGAAGATGTAACTTCATGATATATTATCAAATGTAACTTCAAAATAATTTGTTAAAATTACATAAGAAATATTGGTCTCATTTGATAGATTATGAAAAATAAAAAAATTTGATATAAAATTTATAAAAATCGGATATCAAACAAAAAAGTTATTACAATTTTTAACAATAAAAGAAAAAAAAATAATGAATGTTGCGTCGTTTTGGGATCAGGCGCACCATCCTCATGATGCACCGATCCCAGGGTATAAATTGCGTCACAACTTCCCTCCCCACCTTATCTCATTTTAATTACTTTCATTTTATATGTTTACTTTTATAAAATTTCTCTTTCCTCTCATTTTTACCCTAATTACTTCATTTAATCACTTGCCTAAAAAATCGTGTCGTTTACTCACAAGAATCTTCAAACGGGACGGAGGGAGTATATTTTATTACATCTGTGCCACTAACATTAGGACATAAGGATTTGGTTTGATTATTAAGAATGTGGTTATGTGGTTGATATTGAATAGATAAAGTAAAAATATACTCCGTAGTAAAAATGATATAGAACCATACAAATTTTACTAAATTCGGTATAAGACAATATTACGGGATGAGACCGAAAGGAGAGATGAGACAATCTTAATGAGATGAAGGGGTAATAGTTAGTTACTAAGTAATTTAAAAATTATTTTATCAATCTCTCTGTGTATATTTGTGGAATGTATCACATCTATTCTATAGTATAAAAAATTATTGTGTAAAAGTTCTATAATTGGTAGAAAATGTTCAATTTTTTGATAAAATTAAAGTGGACAGATTAAGATGCAATGAGCAGATAAAAAACGTTGTTTCCCCTTGCAAAAAACTAGAGTACGTACAAAGTTCGTTTTCTATGGATAGAAGCGTCTGATCTAACACATAAAGGACGGCATTAGTGACACTGTTAATATATCCCACAAAATTGACAGGATCCACTTAGCAAACAATGTAAGCAAATTCAGTGATGTCATTAGATTTCCGTGAGATTTTGTATACAATGGGTTGTAATTTTGGACAACTAGCACAATCAGATTATATTGAACACAACTTATATGGAGTTGACAAAGTAATCCCATATTGACTGAATATGAAATAGGAAATGATATTTAAGACTTTTCCAACTCCTCATTTTATCCTCATTTGATCTATGTTTTAATAGAAATTGCTTTAAATAGGAGTAAAAACGTTTTGAAAGTCTAAAATAGGAGTATAATGTTTTTTATTCCTTGAATATGAGTAATCTGACAAGTTTGAAAAAAATGTCATGTTTAAAACCTAGTAATGCTAAACTTGGAAGAAATTTACTCATATTCAAGGAATAACAAACATGATACTCCTATTTTAGAATTTCAAAACTTTTTTACTCAGTTTTTGGTGCAATTCTTTTTTATCAACCATTTTGTATGACTTTCAAGTCGGGACCTACGCAAAATTGTTTGGACTAGGTGAGATGCCTGACAATGAGGACGTGTGCCTTCGTGAAAAAAGTACTCCCTCCGTCCCTAAATTATCTTCAAACTTTCCTTTTTCGTCCGTCCCAAAATTATCTTCTCTTCCCCCTTTTAGCAAAAAATTTGTGATTCACAACCATTCTTACACATTCTTACACATTTCTCTCTCCTCTGCACAACTCTCCACCACACAAATCCCACTATCTTAATAAATGTGCCCAGTCGAAAAGGGAGAAAGATTATGGACGGAGGGAGTAAGAGAAATAAGAATTGTCACACAAGTCTCCTACTATCACAAATTTTGAATGAGTATTTTACCCTTAAAAACTCGCATCCTTTTTTGTAAGGAAAATGATTATATTGATATCATTACAATCAGGATCATTACAACAATCTCAAAATGATCAGAACTGATAACAACCTTGACCTTTCAATTACTACTTTTAACCCTACGATTAGACATAGAGACGACCACCTTAATTAAGGAGCAATACGAATTGCTAACCACCAGACGAGCTTAATGAAAACTCACATCGTTAGACAAACAAATTTGTCAAAACACCTCATTCGTATCACAAGAGGCAAAATTGGGCAAAATTGATGGCGGAGAGTGGATCGCTAACAGAAATTTTTTCCTATCACATTCTATGAAAACCTGTGAGGGTGAAAGATAAGGGAGTCAATGTTTGGGGCGAAGTTACGTTGTTGAAAAGAGAAAATATAAGTGTAACCGAACTTAAATACGAAGAATGATATTATGGTAGTGAGATGGTCATGATGTTGCAGTGAGTTGGCGGTAAATTGGAATTAAACCCTTAAAATTACCTAAAAGGTACTCCCTCCTTCCCCTTTTAAATGTCCCAATTTACAATATTGGGATGTCCCTATTTAATTGTCTCATATCTTATTTGGTAAAGTTTGTGTGGCTCAAAATCATTCTTACTTTATTCTTACTTTATTCTTACTTTATCTATTAATATCAACCACACAAACCTACTTTTCTTAAAACTCGTGTCACCCTCTTCCGGGGCATTTAAAAGGGGACGGAGGGAGTATTTATTTAAGTCTATTTAAAATAAATTATATTAAATATTTGCAAGACTTTCTATTTTGGTCCGTATTTAAGTATTTGTAAAAGAATTCCTTTTAGTAGGGTTTTCATTCAAAATTATCTAACTATTTTTTTACTTCTCCTTCAATTCTTTTCTTTCATTTTTCTGTCACGCCCTACATTTTGTTCACAATATTCTATGTTTCTAATATGATAGTGTCACTCTTAAACTTGATGTCCCAATCATCTTAATACAATCCAAACGGGTTGTCTGGCCTCATTTAACTTGATTTTGTACGTGTTTCATGAATGCCATGAAATTTCTGTTTGGTAAAAAATTATAAGTTGGCGAAAAAAGGTAAATAAATTAAACTCAAAAGCATCTTGCTAATTGTTATTGGTATTATTGATACAGTAGAAAACATAAACTATAGATAAGTCAAAATATTTTGATAATCACACGGACAAATAGATGCACACATACTGACAAGAATTCACAGCCTCCAATAGTCATCTGAACCTTAATGGCCTAAAAAATAGTATGGACTTTTTTGGACATATCAGTAATGGTGGGGGTGGGGTGGGTGAGGTGGGGGTAGGGGTAGGGGTAGGTTTGTGTTATCTAAACAAAAAAGAGAGAATATTCCAAGTTGTTTTGGGAGGAGTATATGCAAAATGCCCATACTTTTTAACACAGGCAACAGCACTACAACCGCAATGCTCTCCCTGTTCCCTACTAGTATGTTCCAACTTTTAAAGTGGGACGTAATCCAGGCAGAACTGGTTCAGGTTCATAGATGGTAATGGCCAATGGGCTATGATCAGTGGCGACCCATACATTTAATCAAATACGGAATAACACAGATGGTAGGGCTGGACTAGGGGTGCAAATTAAAATAAGAGTCCAATAGAAATTAAAAAAGAAAATAATTTATATTTATATATGATGCAATGTACTTCAGATGCCCATGTGGGCAAAAAAATTTCAATATAGGCCTTGAAAACACAAATTAAAGTAGAGTTGGTGCGGGAAGGCGGGTGTAGTCCATGAGATAACCATTCACATCCAAATCTC